GGCCCCGAGAGTCTGTTGGCACTGAGGCTGAGACTGGTGAGGTTGGTCAGGTTGCCGAGCTCCGGGGGGATGGGCCCGGAGAGACTGCCGGCGGAGAGGCTGAGGTTGACGAGGTTTGCCAGTCTGCCGAGCTCCGGGGGGATGGGCCCGGAGAGGTAGTCGGCAAAGAAGCTGAGATTGACGAGGTTCGTCAATCTGCCGAGCTCCGGGGGGATGGGCCCGGAGAGGTAGTTGGGCAAGAAGCTGAGGCTGGTGAGGTTGGTCAGGCTGCCAAGCTCAGGTGGAATGGGACCTGACAGGTTATAGCCTCCAAGCTGAATACTACTCTGATTCCAAAGGGGCCCCTCGACCAGACTGCCAATCTGCTCAATTGTGATCGAATGAACACCACTCATGACCCCGCACTCGTACAACATCACCAGGATTAGCATCCTCACAAGCATGTTTGGTGCAACCATGGCGAATTGCTCTGTACCTTCCAGTAATCAGGGGGTCAACCTGCGAAACAAGATACCGCCAGTCATTAAGTGGGGTTGCTTGGCTTTCAACAAATGGAGGGTAGTTCTGCAGAAGTTCTTTTTCTGGAAGCGTCTCGTAAATCTCTTTTTGGCTTGCTACTAATGCAAAGCATTGATGCATATTTCTGCCCAATAGCCTGCACATCTTTAAATGTTGAGCTAGACTTTGGCACCATCATGCAACCCTGAACAGCTTGACTCCGGCAAAACTCCTCCCCTCTAGATCTGCTCTGAGCTTCCGACTCGTACTTTTGCTCGCTTCGCCTCTTCAACATAAGTGCTCAGCATGGAAAGCATCACAACATCAACCAATGTAGGCAACATCACGCGATAGCAAGAGGGAAATCCGAGCTCAGGCAGTAAAAACGGCAAAATGTAAAGAGTCACCTTTGAGGTTCCTTCACCAGCCGACTTCAGTGCAGTCCTGCGCTGTTGCCTTTGTAGCAGGGCCCGACCACCAATGCCCATGTAAGCAGCCACAGGACGAGCATACAGAGATCAGAGCTTCACAATGCACAATTCTACCCAAGGTCAGCATTAGTGCTTTTCCACTTCACCTCCGATAGCAGTTTTACAAGTTCCGTGAATCGGCGAGGGCGTTGCTCCTTGCGTTTGAAAGGACAGACCTTCTTGCCAGGCATTAGGTACGGTAACTTAGCCCTAGAAATTCCGTCTTTCTTGGGAAAATCATCACTGCTTACTTGGTACCAGTCCCTCCAATTCCTTCACGGCCCTGGGGGAACGGAATGGCGTTGACTTTGAATCTAACACTTGCCTTCGAAGCTCTCAGAAGGTGGACGGTGGATTTAGAAAGTCAGTGTCAGCGACTCGTGAGTGTGATCTGAATCGCATCTGTCGACATAGTTCTGTCGACATGCGTCTGTCGACATGCCTTGCCAGCATGCAGGATGGCAGGGCATCTGGGGTCTGGAAGCAGGGACGTTTTGCCACATGGAAGCTCGTCGGCAATTGTGCAGTCTGTTTTGCCGAGCCCGCGTCACAAAACGGCCACCATGTTTTCCGGCAGGTTCGCAGATTTCTTGGCCGTTATGTGACGCGGGCCCGGCAAACAGACCCAAAAGGGGACGCCGAGCTTCCATGTGGCCCCGCTGGCCTTTCCGGCCCAGCGCGAAGATGTATCTGTCGACATGCATCTGTCGACATGCCTAGGGGCCGCTCGACTAGGCCTTTTGCGGGGGAAATGCCAATGAGTAGAGGACTAGAGATCTGCTTAACCAATTCATGATTTGAATCTGAGTCTTCTTTCTCCTCCTCCCTGAAGCCCCCCCCCTCCGGGCTCCTGGTACAATCGCCGGCCCCGTCCAGCCGGGGGGGCGCCCCGGCGTGCCGGGGCCCCCAGGCGTGCCGGGACCCCCAGGCGTGCCCGGTTCCTACACTGGCGTGCCCTCGTCCACAACGACGCTCAACGTCTATTTTGTCGTCATTATTATCAATACGGGCCAGCCCCCCTGCAGAGAATTGACTGTGTCTGAAACGCGCATCACCAACACGAGCATCCTGGTCGGCAACACTACCCAGTGCAACACGACGGAGATAAGCACCGTCACCAACACGACGACGTGCGGCAGACCCGGGATGGCGGACGTGCGGGTCAACACCACGACCACCACCAATACTTTGTGCCTGCCGGTTGTCACCCCGCCCCCACCCGTGAACGTCACCGGGACCCCAACCCCCACGCCTACGAACATGACCAACGTCACCGGGACCCCAACCCCCGCGCCCACGAACAACGGGACCGCTCCCCCAACCCCCTTCCCAACCCCACCCAACATCACCGCTGCCCCCCCCCATTCCCCCCTCTTCCAAACCCAGGAAACAATGGCACCCTAACCCCAACCCCCACCCCATCAAATGTTACCGTCACACCCGTCCCAGGAGTGACCAAAACTCCACTTCCCACAAACCGGCGTCCCGACCCCAACCGCGACAATCCCCGGCTTGACCAAGGCCCCCCCGCTCGCTACGACGGCCTCCCCGATCGTTACCACGGCCGCCCCGGCCGTAACCACTGCCGCCCCAGTCCAGACCACCGCCGCCCCGGTCCAGACCACCGCCGCCCCGGTCGAAATCACGGCCGCCCCGGTCACGACCCAAGCCGCCACGGGCTAAAACCTTAAATCACGAAGTCACTAACCCGAAGTCACCCCGTCAGACTGGATAAAGGTGACTGGATAAAGGTGAGTGTATTTGGACTGGCGTAGTTGGACTGACCCTAAAACCTAAAATCACGAAGTCGTTAACCCTAAGTGACCCCCAAAAATCGTAAAACCCTAAAACAAAATGGTGGATAAAGGTGATTGTATTTGGACTGGCGTGTTGACTGACTTCAAAACCTAAAATCACGATGTCGCTAACCCTAAGTCACCCCGTTGGTTCAACGGTGGGGAGGACATTCTAACACAATTTTCGACGAGACCGTGATTTCGCCAGTGTGGAAATTGAAAGGTTGTCTAGGTTGTCTTGCTGATGTGGCATGGCAAGTGCGACGCGGCGTACACGTTGTTTAGTTGCAGTACACGTTGTTTAGTTGCAGTTTGGCATTGGTCGTTGATCATTGGTCATTGGTCATTGTTTGTCCCCCCCCCCCCCCCCCCCCCCCCCCCCCCCCCCCCC